GGGGATAGAGGAGCTACTCCGAACCATCCGTGAGTACGAGGAGTCAAAAACCACGTCCACGTTCGCCCTGAGACGGCCAGGGTTCGCCATACGCCTGGGGCTTTTGCTGGACTATTGGGTACCACGTCTCCAGCACCCAGTCCTGGTGGAGTTGCAGCGGGAGGCAGAGGAGGTGCGCCGGACAGCCTTCTCTGCCATGACTGCAAAGCCTCGGTCTTCCAAGCCGGACTTCCGCTCCGCCAGCCCAGCCCCAGCTCCATCCTCAGCTCCTCGTGCCGCTCCGCCGGCGTCTGTTCCTCGTGCCGTTCCTGCTCCGCCGGACCCCGCTCCGGCTGCCGCTCCTGCTCCGCCGGACCCCGCTCCGGCTGCCGCTCCTGCTCCGCCGGACCCCGCTCCGGCTGCCGCTCCTGCTCCGCCGGACCCCGCTCCGGCTGCCGCTCCTGCTCCGCCGGACCCCGCTCCGGCTGCCGCTCCTGCTCCGCCGGACCCCGCTCCGGCTGCGCTCCTGCTCCGCCGGACCCCGCTCCGGCTGCCGCTCCTGCTCCGCCGGACCCCGCTCCGGCTGCCGCTCCTGCTCCGCCGGACCCCGCTCCGGCTGCCGCTCCTGCTCCGCCGGACCCCGCTCCGGCTGCCGCTCCTGCTCCGCCGGACCCCGCTCCGGCTGCCGCTCCTGCTCCGCCGGACCCCGCTCCGGCTGCCGCTCCTGCTCCGCCGGACCCCGCTCCGGCTGCCGCTCCTGCTCCGCCGGACCCCGCTCCGGCTCCGGCTGCTGCTCCGCCGGACCCCGCTCCGGCTCCGGCTGCTGCTCCGCCGGACCCCGCTCCGGCTCCGGCTCCTGCTCCGCCGGACTCCGCTCCGGCTCCTGCTCCTGCTCCGCCGGATTCCGCTCCGGCTCCTGCTCCTGCTCCGCCGGATTCCGCTCCGGCTCCTGCTCCTGCTCCGCCGGATTCCGCTCCGGCTCCGGCTCCTGCTCCGCCGGATTCCGCTCCGGCCTCCATGGACTCTGCTCCTCGTGCTGCTGCTCCGGCAGCCTCTATCCCTAGTGCTCCTTCCGAGATCCCTAGTGCTCCTTCCGAGATCCCTAGTGCTCCTTCCGAGATCCCTAGTGCTCCTTCCGAGATCCCTAGTGCTCCTTCCGAGATCCCTAGTGCTCCTTCCGAGATCCCTAGTGCTCCTTCCGAGATCCCTAGTGCTCCTTCCGAGATCCCTAGTGCTCCTCCCGAGACCCCCAGTGCTCCTCCCGAGTCCCCCAGTGCTCCTCCCGAGTCCCCCAGTGCTCCTCCCGAGTCCCCTAGTGCTCCTCCCGAGTCCCCTAGTGCTCCTCCCGAGTCCCCTAGTGCTCCTCCCGAGTCCCCTAGTGCTCCTCCCGAGTCCCCTAGTGCTCCTCCCGAGTCCCCTAGTGCTCCTCCCGAGTCCCCCAGTGCTCCTCCCGAGTCCCCCAGTGCTCCTCCCGAGTCCCCCAGGGCTCCTCCCGTGCCCCCTAGTGCTCCTTGGCGCCGAGGACGCCCTCCGGACCTCTCCTGTGGGGTCTGCCGCGGGCGCCGAGGACGCCCTCCGGATCCCCCTCGACGCCTCTGCCCTCTTTCTGTTTAGTTTTGGACTCTTGGCCCCTCCTTGTGTTTCCGCCCACCTTTTGTGGGTAGTTTTTTGTTTTCTGGACTCTGGCCCTCCTTCCGTCGCCCCTCCGCCCACCCTGGTTTTTGGGTTTTGGATTTTGTTTTTGGGCGTCTGGTAGCCGCCCTTTAAGGGGGGGGGTACTGTCAGGTTCTGTGTTTTTCTGTGTTTTTATTCCGAGTTTCTGTGTTCTGAGTCTCCTCGTTGCCCTGTCTTCCCCTTGATTGTTCCCAGGTGTGTCTCGTTCCCTTGATTACCCTCTGTGTATTTAGTCCCTCCTGTGTCCTCTGTTCCTCGTCGGGTCCTTGTGAGATTGTCAGTTTGTCGTTGTCGTACTTTTGTCAGATTGTCGCTCGTTTGTTTTGTGCCGCCTTTAAGACCAGTTGCTACCGGTGTGAGCCCTGGCTTCCGCTCAGCCGTGCTGCCTGGCCGCGGACTCTGTGTTTTTGTGGACTTATTTTCATTAAATTACTCACCATTCACCTACCTGGGTCTCCAGCGTCTGCCTCACCACCTCCACTACTCACCACTTTATGACACTATTTATATTTCAATATTTTTACCTTAATAGTATCCTTGGTGGTTTTTCTATGTTTTTGTTTTGTCTCTTGTGTCTCATGCCTTATTTCCAGGTGTTTTGAAAATAGGATTCTTGTCGACCTATTTACCTTGAAGACAACCGGTGTTGCTGCTAAACATGCCAATAGCTGTAACAGTAAATGTTTACTTCTCCCTCATTTGCTTTGACATTATTAACCAAAACTCTGACTGACACCACCTTCAACTGATTCCCGTACGAACTAAAAGAGGTTATAGCCTAGGGACAACTGTTTTAGATGCTATCTGTATCTTATTTCAATTATAGCTTGGATCACAGAAACTGCCAGCATGATAACGAACCTGCTGACAGCTTCTCCCCGAGGGCAGGAAATGAGTTGTACAACAATTGATGTCGTCTGAGGTTAAATGTCCATTCTGATGAAGCGTTGTTCAAAGGGTGACGTATTCAACTGTGGTGCCATCGCCTCTTTCCCAACATTGGCTTTAAGAGAAGATAAAAGTAAAGCTTATGACGTTTAGACAGCTCTGTGGCTTTTTAACCCCATTTGGGAATGTATTGTGAGAAGTTAAGCGAGTCCAACATTGATTAAGTTTGAAAGCATGCAGCTAAATATGACACAACATTGGGCTTACTTAGTATATATGCATAGTATAATTTTAGAGTTTTAAATAACAGGGAATGGAGAATTAAAGAAAGAGAGGACACTGCAGAATTAATAAAAATGAATATCAAAGATTCAGCTTGACTGTAGAAGATTTTTGAGGGTAGGGCAGACTCTAGAGAAGTTCTGCACTCCTCTGCTGTCCAGCTCATGTCCTAATGTAAAATTCATTGATGAAACCTCTGAAGAAATCTTTTCCTCTGCCTTTGTCAAAGGCAGAGTTTTGTCAGTGCTTTACAATGCTTTACAAACTTCAAAGGTTTGCCAACGAACATCAAAAATAGTGATTGGATATTCATAAAATTTGACAGACTAATGAGAGCTTTTTAACAAGAGAAAGGGAAGTCATTTTTGAGGGTAAAAAGTGTTTTTTTGTTTGTTTTTTTTTCACAAACTCTGGGCTTCCATGACTGTACCATAAATGGCATAGCTGGTTCTGAACTGTTTTTTAGAAGCTTGCTTGGTTTTTCCCATCATCACATTATAGTGACAGTCATGTCACTATAACATGTAAAATGTGTCTTCCGTTGCATTGCTCTTTTGCAATATGAATTTCTTTAAATTCATATTGCAGAAGGAACAGTTTGCAAACAATTCACAGTATTTGTCTCATTATCAATCTTATCTTAATGTTAGCACTCCAATTTATAAATAACATAGGTTTATCTAAATTCTACACAATGACAGAAAGCATTTACAGAGTTGTGTTGCATATTGTACTGTGCTTTGCAAAAGTATCCATTGGCATTATAATTAGAATTTTAAATGATAGAGAAACTAATAAAAAATGCTCTACTGTGATTTAGAGATACAATAAGCATATATGTATTTGGTTATCTTGAGTCAATTCAAAGTATTGACTCAAGATAATAGTAAGTCGATACTTTGGTTTAATATGGCTACAAGTCTTATAAAGTCTCTATTAACTTTTCTGTCAAAGTTCTTTGCAAAATACCTGAAATCCACTTAGATTGGTAGGAGAGGATTTGCTAAAATTTCATTTCAAGTTTAGCTACAGCCTCTCTCTTCATTCAGGTCTCGGACTTTGACTGAGCCGTTCTTGCACATTACAGTCCTTTGATTATTTTGGCTTCTATGACTCCTCCAGAGTTATCTTTAGCTACTTGGTTGTTTCTCTGATTCACAATAGTGTTCCTTGGCTTTTTTATTATAGATGGACAGCCATGTCTTAGGAGATTACAGTTGTGCTAAACTCTGTATTCAGGGATTGAACTGCTCTAAATAAATAGGCACACAGGATTCCGATGATTTGCTTCAGACCCTAGTGCCTTATTGTGGTAATTTTGCACAACTGGAAAATAACTTTGTCATCATGCTTGAAGTGCTAAGCAAATATTTTATCTTCATTTTAAGACCTTTTGGAAATGATTTGCTTGTCCACAGAAATAAAACGCTTGACTGAAACAGTGTTTAAACATTTATGTACAGCTTTTTGGATAGTGCTGACAAAACAGATGGATTAATATCAGTGTTTGCACGTAGTGTTTTGCACACACTTCTAAAGTAGTTCTCAGTCTTGGCAAACATCTCCAGAGTCGAAGAGTCTGATGTAACATAACCCCAATCCCTTAAAGGGATGCTAAATGCACAATAAAATGGTTTCCCAGATCCCCTTACAGCTGTTACTCATCAAAATTGAGACTTTAACCTCAGACACAGCCTCAGCAACCACGACATGAGAAGGTTATTCCTCTCAGTGGTCCATTTTAAGTCGGAAGTTGATGTCCGCTGGATATTATCCCCCCTGCTGTGTTTAGTGGTAATGAATGGCAGTTAATGAACACCACCGCTGAGGCAGCCTTCCCCTGAATCCCCATTTTCGCCACCCATTTGCTGGTGGCTGTCTGGGAGATAAGAGGGAAGAAGACGGGGGAAAGGACACAGCAGGAGGTCTGTCACACCTTGTACTATCCCAACACTGAGGCAGGAGCTGTGTGGCTGCAACATGACAGATCAAAGAGACATGTTGCACAGAGGAAAGGGGCAGGTTAAGATGCTTTGTTCTTTCCAGGCACAAAAATGTTTATGGTCTTTGATAGACCTCTCAAGAAGACCTTTTGTTTCTCCTCAGTTTCCTTTATTAGATCACATAATCTTGTCTTTTTCATGTTTCATTAACTGGTTTCTGTTCTTGTTTTATAGCCACAGGGATCTAAAGCCGGAGAACCTTTTGCTAGATGAAAAGAACAACATCAGGATAGCAGACTTTGGTATGGCCTCTCTTCAGGTTGGAGACAGCCTATTGGAAACCAGCTGCGGGTAAGTGCATTTACCACTATGATGCACAGTCATATCCTACAGTGTCGAAATGTAGCAAGCTAGAAACTGGTACAAATGTAAATATTCCTTACAGTTTTAGGAGAAGAGTAAAATGAAGCAGGGAATGATTAGTGGAGTGAACAGGTCCGCCGCGTTCCTAAACCTCCACACAGCCTCCAGTGTAAATCTCCGGAGCAGCGACTTTTGCCATCTACTGTCTCGGAGCACGGCCAGGGCCTTGGCCAAACATTACTGCTCTCCATCTCCTTCCCCCTCACAGAGGAGTTTATGATCTAACATTTACCATTTCACTGGCCTCATCAATCCTGCAACTACAATAAATTTGCCTGTAGGAGAAGTCACTTTCAGAGTTGGATGGCTGTTATCAAGTAGAAGCCTGAAGTCCCTGTGTTATGATTGCTCCTTTTTTTTTCTTTTGTGAAAGTTTCAAAAAGATAAAAGTATTGCGGTAGTCATTCAGATTTCTTGTCACTAACAATAGATTTCTCACACTGCTGCTGCCTTGACCATCAATGAAATAACTGAAACAAGCCAGAACAGAATTAGGATAATTCTTTGTGTCTTAATCTGAATGTTGTCAGGAGTGTTTTTGCTTTGTCATAAAACTGCATTCAGATTTGGGTGATTTGAAGGCCATTTGACATCTGTGCCCTGCACAGATTGTCTCTGTCCAGATTAAACTGAAATTTCACATCCATGCAATTTGGAAAGTACATATGTTCACGGGGAAGAGATGAGGATCTCAGTTTATCCCTCCCTCTTTCTCTGTTCTCATCCTCCCATCATATGCATGGCCACTTCAGCATGATTATGCAGATGCATTCATCCAGCTGAAACTGTTGCATAATGTTTTTCCATCAGTAACACTAATGCCTAAACTCTTGTTACTCATCGGTAGAGAACAACCCAACTGTATGTGTACATATTTTTATGGCAATAGAATATGTCGGAAAAAAAGTCACCTTTTAACAGCGATTACTGTGAAATAAGACGCTTTGGCACTCCTTACTCAACAGTATCTATGAACTAAGTCCATCTGTTCTTTAATGTACTTTACCTTGCATTTTTTAGTTGAATTTCTAATGTCAACCAGGTGCATTGCATTTGCTGAGTTTAATGTTTGGGGTATGCATATTCCAAAGTAGGTCTAGAAGTTTTTTTTTTTGTTTGTTTGTTTGTTTTCTTCTTTTTGCCTTCAGATCCACCGTCACTCTGTGAGCATGTCTCTGAAATGTGTGGGCAGTGTGTCTACGTGTTTATCTGCTGGAGTCCAGAACATGTGCCATAAACTGTAATTGTGGTTATTGATTATTCATGCTCTTCTGGTTGCCCCATCCCTAAGTGCAGATATGACACTTTTTAATTAAACAGATTTATCTGGGTCTCCTCTCACCATGCGGCAGTCTGACACAAATGTATTCCATTTGCTTTGGGTAATGGAGCCAAGTGGAGATGAGACTTGCCTCAGGTAGTGGGGGGATGTGGGGTTGGGGGTTGGGGGAGGGTGGGAGGGACCTTAGAGAACATCTGACATATAAATACATGGAGACCCGCAAATGCGTTAAAGGAGCAGAGGAACTAGCAAGTGCTTACAAACATGGAGCAAGGGAATCACATGTCTAAACAAACTCAGCTGTGGGTTTATCCATGTTTCATAATTATTTCTGGAACATGTTTAAAGTGATGGTATAAATATGGTTCCAAAGATTTACATTGTGAACTATACCAGCACACCCATGTTTGATATGCCAGAGTATATTGTATGCATCATACAATATGATCTATATCAAAACTAATTCAGCTGCAAATGTATAAGTGTTAGTTGTCGGACTGGCCTAGAGAAGCTCCCTCACTGTCAAGAGGGGAAGTCATTCAAATTTACAGATTTGAAATGCATATTTATAGGTTCAAAATTATAGCACTTTGTAGATATTTAGAGGTTTAATTTAAATGTTGGAAAAGAAAATAAGTTAAATGAAAATACTTTATCTTCCGTCTCAAAAGTTTTGTTTTGTCTTGTGCCTCTTGAATGCATGCTAACCTGGAACCTGTACAGTATTTTTCAGCGTGTCCAAAATGACAAAGCATCCAGTAGCAGCAGGCTACTGGATGCTTTGTAAAACCAAAACTGTAAAACAATGACATTTTTCCAGCACCAATTTGATCAGATCCCCATTAATAATCCTTCTAGCCATTTACCTACGCAAAAGGTCACTGTATTTAAAACGTCTGAGCGGAAGGATTTAAGAACAATATTTACAAGTTTTTATAATCTTCCCTTATTTTGCTGAACATGACAATCACAGAATCGTAATTTTATTTTGACAAACTATCACTACATTTCTAAAAGTATTCATCCGTAAATAGTTGAAATCAGGTGTTCCACCTTCATGGAAGGTAGGGATTGTCATCACTAAGTTACATGCAAGCCCTGTGTTTCTAAGTGGAATGCAAAGTTAAATTTGCTGCTTATATTATTTTTTTTTTTCATATTATAAAACTTTGAACAGCTAAAGCACTGGAGATATTTTTAAGAACTCAGTAGCTCTGACCAAATTTTTTTACATCCAAACTCCAATTGAGAATACAGTTGACAGGAATCAGTTGTAGTCATCCTGTTTCCCTCCTGTAAAAAAACATGCTGAACTGTCACCAAGGTGAATTCAGGCTTTTTACTTTAGATATAATCAAGTGAATCAGTTAATCATTTGGCGTTTAGTTATTTTACATATAAACACATAGCTGTTACCAGCAGGTCAGTGTTTATTGAGGAAAGTTGCAACAGTGTGAAATATTAGCCATATAAACATGTTTGCACATCAGTTGTTTTCAGCTGAATATTTCTCTAAATCTTAATTTTATTTTATTTTTTATCGAAAGCACACATAGGCAGTGAAATAAGTTCATCAACTACCTAACTGTTTACGCTAAGATAAAAAAAATAAATAAATTGTTCCATTTCAGCTTGCTGGTTAGAAAAAGTCACAGGACTCAGTCAGTAGAAAGTTCAGGGAAAGAACCACATCATTGATATTTTTGACCACTTAAATGGAAGGAAAGAAATTCCAGACCTTTTTAAATGAATGCAAGATTTCAGTGAAAGGGAAGGGAAAATATTTTAGGACTGGCATGTTCTAGTTTCAGATTTTTTACCTTTTCAAGTCTCAGATACATGTACTTCTATTGAAGTTATCAATGATAAAAGAACCTTTACTCCCAAAGAGTGAATGAGAAGTACCTTTTTATTCCAGTCAAATTCTTCTGCTTCCACTTTACATTTTTGTCTAGTGGAATTGTCAGACGATGAGACAATAAGCCACAAATACATCCCCAATTTGGAAGACAAGCAGAAAATCCCGCAGCTCTTATTGCGACGAATTGAACACCGTGGATTTTAATCTTGACCAACATATTTGTATAGAGCATGCCATGTATTACCTTGAAATTTTTGAACCTCATTTTTAGTAGTTATTTGTTTGATATGTAAATTTATTGAAGGTCTATTTTTTTTGTTAAATCTCTTAAGACTATTGTAAAACATTAGAGGCTCCCTTTTCTTCTGAGGTTGCTTTTTGAATCAGGAACTGTAAAATTGTCAGCATGTTTTTGTTGCTGTTGCATCTCTAAGCCTCTTGTTGAGATTAAATTTCACACATTGTATCAGTGTTTTCCCATACACAGACTCTGCCTTAATAGATCATATAAGCAAACAATGTGTTTGCCAGAACGGATCAGGGAGAAGACAATCTGCACATGTGCTGTGGATAAATCTTTGTGACAATTTTTTTTCCTTCTAAAACTAATGGAGGATTAATCTAAGACATTTTTTCTTTGTTTTCTCTTCTGCACTGTGGCCAACCTTTAAGACCTTTAAATAACAAGGATATGTTTATGCAGATTCCAGTTGTGGTTTGCATGCTGTGATGCTCATGACACATTGATACTTCAAATGTCTTTGTTTCCCCTTCTTACTTAAATGCATTGGCGACTTCAAATCAGGAAGAACATCTTTGCACAGGCTCATATTTGAACTTGCCCCATTGAAGTGCTGGTGGTGTGATTGGCCAGTATTGTGACAGCTCAAGGAGTCGGGTCATCAAGGCTAGTATTTATGAGTTTACAAGAAAACTGGCGGATGGGCCCTCATTAACGTCAGATATCCTGGCACTAGACAGAAGGAGACGGAGCTGTGGAGGACACATCTCAAAGGGTTCAGAGGTTTCAGTAGACAAGTGCATAGTTTGTAACAGGCTGTTTAATGAAGCCAATTACAGATCTAATTTTTACTCCAAGTTAATTAATTTTGAAACACGAGAATGTCATAGTTCTGCAGAATTTTATAGAAGGAATAACAAGTTTACTCCTTAGCTGCAGCTGGAGGATTACAGAGGAGTTTTAGTGGGCTCGCTCCATAAATCTTCATATGATATTGATGTGTCAATCTAGTCATTGGCTTTACTGTCAGGCCATCCAGAGGCTGTAAAGATTAGTGGGTCTGGTTACCGTCTGCTGTCGGATGATGCCCTTGACTGAAAAAGCAAGAGGACGACATCCGAACACCCTCAGGATGTCTAAACTCTGGAAGCACCTTGATCTGTGAGCAGTGGATATGTTTACTGTCTAATGTGTTTTAGAGAGCTGTTTATCAGACTACAGTGACTGCATTACTGACTTACTTTAGAGTCTGTTGACTTTTCTCCTTTTGCTTGTTTAGTTTGTTTTTTAAGCTGCTTTTCTGTTTCCCAGATCGCCACACTATGCATGCCCAGAAGTCATAAGGGTAAGAGATTTTTTTTTCAGCATTAATGTATTCAATTTTTATTAAAAATGTTGGTAACAACCCTGTCTGAACTTGATAAACAAATCCTCTTTCCTTCAGGGAGAGAAGTACGATGGGAGGAAAGCAGATGTCTGGAGCTGTGGGGTCATTCTTTTTGCTCTTTTAGTGGTGAGTCCCAACTCTGTCTTTACTGAGAGAGTAAAGAAAGAGAAACCTGGTCTGAAGTGCAGGTCAAAGTCTGTAGGGCTACTGACCAGCATGATTTCCTTCGGGTCTCTGATGGCAGATTATTTTTCTGTAAAATAGTCAAGAAATACAACTTGAATGAATAGACTTTTAGATGTAACCCTGCTAGAAATTCAACTTTCTTTCCCTGTCTCACATTGTTTATAGCCTCTAACAGGTTTTCTTCCAGAAGTGTCTTCTGTCTAGCTGTATCATCACCACTAGTTTCTCTGCGGGTTTGGTGCGTTCAGAATGATTTATGGTGTTGGTTCCCACCACACAGTGTTTTGCATGTGGTCTAACAAGTTCAATTCTGGTCTCTGAGGACCAGAGCACCTTCTGGGATTTTTTTTATAGATTTATTTGAATATCTTTGCTCAGTGCCCAACTAATGGCACTGAGCCATTAGCCAAAGTCTCTTGACTCAAAGCCAAGAGACTTTTGGCTTTGAGTCTGATTATTGCTCTACTTGCCTGAAATTACATGTCTCAGCCTTTCTGAAGTTGTGGAATATTTTATATTTTTGGCATAATGTTGGCAATGCCATTCTGTTTTATGATGTAAGCCGTTCAATGACACTTTATTCCCAACCTACCTTGGTCTTCATGATGCAACGTCCTCTAACAAATCTCTCCTCCCTTCACAGCCCTACAAAGATAACATTATTTACAGCCAACCTTTCTTTTGCTGATTTGATGACTTTTGAAAGCAATTAGTTAAACTTATATAATTTTTTTTTACTCCTAAACGAGTAAAAATTGGTAATAAAATGGTTGCTTCCACTTTTCTTATTTCTTTTCTTTGTAAAAACATAAATAAGAAATGTGTTTCCTTTCCTTGTGTGCCTCAATTGTGCAATCTGTTGTGTTGGTCAATCACATACAATCTATTTACAATATATTGAAGTTTATGGTTACAACTTCTTCCAAGCTCTTCTCCCAAAATGCCAAACACATTACTTTTACTCAATTGCAATCCAAAGTGTCTTTTCAGTGTTTATCTTGCATCCAAGCACATTGCAGTATCTAAAATAAGATCTATTCTCCAGCCACATTATGTCTGTGGGTCCCCCAGCCATACACCCCTTTAAGCTTTGTTGCATTAACTGCTGTATTGGAGTTCCTGCACACTTCTGCCTAATAAATAATTCATGTAGCCAAGCTGAAAGAAGGGAGCCCAAAATAAATATCAACACTGACATGGCAACTTTTTGCTACAGGCTTTGTGTATTTCTCTCTTCTTTTACTTCTTCCATTTCGTATTACTGTCTCAGACAAACTTTTGGTTTGTAAACCTGGGAATGTTTACCATCTTCTGATCTTGACCTATCTTACACACCAAAAAAAGTTGTTTCTTTTTTCTTTATTTTTTTTGTGGTCACTATTTGCCTGTAGAAACACTAGAATTGTTCTTCTGTTCCTCCTGCTGGGAGATAACCATTTGTCTGATTGTGGGAGACAGGGATAGTCCCCAGCAGTTACACTGCACTCACATCATCTGTTATGCAAGTCTACCCTTTTCTTTTCTTCCCCCCCCACTTACTCTTCATTTGTCAGCCAATCTGTCTGTCTTTCCTGCCGGTTTCCTCTCCTCCATCTTGTCCTCTGATGGAGGCTGCCATTCATCACACAGCCACATCTGTGAGGTGTCAGTACTCTTTGATAAATGACTTTGAGAATGCCAAATGAATGAGGTAAACGAGAAATCAGGGTAATTATTAGAAAAGACCCATTTTCAGTTCCCTGCTGGGTTTTTTTTTGTTTGTTTTGCTTTGCACTTAACAGAATGCTCCACTGTGAAAATTAAATAATTGGGGTTGGGGAAACTATTTTCCCCAGGATTTTTGTTTGTTTGTTTGCTTGCTGGGTAACATTGCAGATCAGTTGTCGTTTTCCTATTTCAAATTACACTTTGTTGAAGGTTCTTATTTATCTATTTCAGCATCTATGAATTTCTTGAGAAGCGATTTATGAATAAAATGCATTATTACATGCTACAAACTGACTTTTTTCCCCCCCTTTTTGCCGACTGCCTCAACTGATTTTCTGCTTGCTTGCTTCCTCAGGGCGCCCTGCCGTTCGATGATGACAACCTAAGGAATCTTCTGGAGAAAGTGAAGTTGGGAGTGTTTCACATGCCACATTTTATTCCTCCAGACTGTCAGAACCTTCTGCGTGGCATGATTGAAGTAGACGCATCCAAAAGATTAACGGTCAGTTCATTTTAGAGGCTCAAAGGCAGAACAATGATTATTTTTGTGTTTTCTTTATTTATTTATTATCCAGTTTCAATTTGGCATATTTGTGTTAATCCACGGAAGTTACCAGTTTGTGGAAGCGACCTGTAACATATTGTTTAGATTTAGGTCTAAATGTGTGAACATATACTGATTTAAAAACTCAGCGGTGGCTGTGGTCTTCCTGGTAGGTGAACAGTTTCCCTAGTTTTTTTGGTGATTCACAATTCCTTCCACTTTTCCTGTCCATGTTTGAGCGCAAAACATCTCCAAAGATGACAGTGTTTGAAAGTGAGAAGTGTGTATTTGGTGGTTTTTTTTTTTGTTTGTTTGTTTTTTTTTTGGGCAATTTCTAGCATTTTGTATTCCAAAAAGTAAAGTATATGTTTCATCTGACCAGAATGCCTTTTTGCACATTGCCACTCTGGCTGCACACCGTAAAATTAAGCACCGTTTTTTTATACACATTCTGCATGCACACACCCTCTCGAGGCGCTCTGGTATCTTTATGAATCAGTGCAACAGTTTTCATCCTCATGCCTGTGAGGAAATGTGGTGACACCGCAGTTGGTAAATGTTTCACATTATTACAATAACTTCAAGCACGATGACAGCATTTTACAGCAAATAAAACATGCAGTTCTGTGTTTTAAAAAGGTATATTCGATTTGCAAGTATTTTAGCTACATGAGCTAAAAAAAAAAACAAAAAAAACACACACCTCTTTATTATGCTGTATGCACACTGTTTTGCTTATTCTCATCTCCCCTCTCTCAGATGAGGGCAGGTCACCCTGAGATCCCTGGATATGCCCACTAGAAAACAGCAGTGTCCTCGATAAAGGGTTACACTAAGACCAAACTGCTGGGAGAGAATATGGTATCTGTCTGCTCCCCGCTCCCAACTCCAAATGCAGCTCAGAGGATGTGTTGTAACCTCACAGAATGTCAAATAGCTTTTCAGAGTGAGAATCCTTAAAGATAAGTGGTGAGCACCAAGTCACACAAGAGCCAAGAACACCCAAGGGCAGACAGCAAAACAAGAGGGGGTCTGAGGTTATTTGGCGAGGGCTTGTTTATTTTTGATTTTCTTCATGACAGTTTGATGGATCCATTTACAGGATAATCATACAACTGTCTGTTTGCTTTATGTTAATTAGATTTTGCTTGCTGATGCATGAACGATCACATCTCACAAAGCAAAGGCTCCACAACAATAAAAACTTTCTGAACTTTCTCTCTGCGTTTAGTCATCCAGAGACCAGTGGGTATTACGATTGTCTTGTGCTCTCTCATCAAAGTACTCAATATCTCGTTAAAATAGCTAATCGTCCCAGACAGAAAATGGCCCCGTGTGGAAGGTACACTTTAAAGGTTGCAAGATCTAGAGTAAATGAAGTCAGATAACTTAAACTCAAATCACAATATTTGGTGTTCAGACATTATTTGGACCATTTAAAACTTCTAATAGCCGAATTGTTTCCAAATCTCTTCCTGAAATAGAGTAAGGCTGCTCTTCATGTTCTGTCATTAAAGCTGTCTGACAGAAAAAAGGAAGTTTGAACAATGATCTAATATTGATCTTTTCAACATGAGAAGGGGGAATTAATACAGATTTGAAGCCTTTTAGTGGGGACTGAAATGTAGCTTGTGTACACTTCAGTTTCAAGGAAAAGCCTAATTTATCACACACCCACCCATTCGGCATTAACTTTTCTCTGTTTGGGCAACAAGTAGAGAACTTTTGTCACAGTGGTGCCTGTGTCAGCGAGTAATACGTCCATATTGTTTTCTGTAGCCATTAAAATATCAGTATGAATATTTATCATCCTATTTTCTTGTTCAATAGATATGTTTCTCTTATAGCATGAGAAAGACACAATAGAAACTTGACAGAAACCTGAGCATTCAGCTGAACTCATTGAACGCTGATGTTTAGACCACTTTAGTCTTGTCTATTTTTCCAGAAGGCAGACAAGTATTTCCTCACAGAGAGAAAACTGCTAAGGTTTGACAACGCCTCATCTAAAACAGCTTTATCATTTTGTTCTAAAGATGTATTTGTCAGTTTTGAATAGTTTTATGTTTTCAACAAATAAAAATATCATAAACCCTTTCGGGATGAATATCACCCTAAAAGATTGAAAGCATTGAAACACTGAACAACTGCTCTGAAAATGATGGAGTAACCACTTTCACTCCAGTTTTCTTTTAGAATCTCATGCCTGATTTTTTATCCAAGAACAACCAAGCAAAACAAAAAAATATCAAATTTCTAAAAAGGCAAAAACTGAAGAATTCTTATATTTTTTTCACAGCACTGTACACAACCAGATAGGTTTTCCCTCAATATGTAAAGGTCATGTGCAGTTAATGGCACTTTTTACTTCAAACCACATTACTGTGCGTCATATTTCCATCCTGCCTCCAGGCCCCCAATAAAATGCAGCGAGAGTAGGTCACCCACTGGCCTGTATCTGATAGCCAGGATATCTCTGTCGATACCATGACCTCTGCGGAGGCATACACCAGTCACTGAAACTCTCTAACCAGCCTCAAAGCCTCTCTGATTGCTCGAATATCTCACAGTCATTTATCAGTTCTGCCACACGGAGATGTGGGATGTGGGGACGATCAAGACATTGATGGAGACATATACACATGAACTCTGAATGAGTGACAATAATTAGACTTGCTATGTGTATCTCCTGTGGTTCTACAACAGCAGCATGAGCAAATTAAAAAGTCCCAGCAGTGACATTGATCTTGTTTCTGTCTGTGGCTAGTTGAAGAAAGGAGGAGTCATTGAGGCAGACATCTTCCTTTGTTGCCCTTTGGCTCGCTGTTTCTGCCTCTCTTTGCTTTTGGCTCTCTGGCAATCTACATCAGCAGTGTGATTATAAGAGGGGAAGCAAATCTTGTAAAATTTAAGAGAAATGGAAAAAGAATGAGGCTGGGAGATTCTTCTCCAGACCAGAACATTGGCAGGAGAACAGTGTGTGTGTTTTAAGCTCAGTTGTGTCCTCTCTTCCTCATTCATGGCTCAACCTCTCTTCATCTTTCTCTACATCAGTATGATGTTTTTCCTTATGCCTGCTTTTTAAAAGTACATTACCTGTAAAATTTTGTTTTCCTGTGACATTTGGGGTAAGGTTACATAACTAACACTGTCCAACATTTCCTTTTTCTCAATTCTGACCCCACAATGGATTATTTTTATCACGAGACAATGTCCCAAGAATTTAATTGTACACTAATGTCTTTTTTTTTCTTTTCTTTCTTTTTACAGTTAGAAAAAATCCAGAAGCACTCATGGTACATGTAAGTTCTCATCCTTTAACCAGGTTTTTACGCCCCCAATTTCATCCTTCGTTACACTATTCTGCACCTGGAGGGAGCTACCGCATGAAAAATGACCGAGCTTCAGCTATGTACACAAGAGTACATTTATGCAGGGCATGACTTCACTCTCTGGGACATGGGGGTAAATTGGTAGCGCATGAAAGGAAATTTGAAGCATATGGTCAAGTGAACAAGGAGAAAGCCTGAGGGAACATGCTGGGATGTGGAAACTAAACCAGTCTAACCTAAGTTCGCTCTATTGTTTGATATTAAAAGTGCAATATATCCACTGCATTAATATAAATCATAAAATAACACTCAGAGAACTCTGAATGTAATTTGAGATTAAGCACTTGATGCTCGCTCCTGGTCCCATTCTACAATAAAATGAATCAAAGCAATTATTTAAATGCATTACATTAGTACTGTAATTATGTTAGCAGTTATCAGTATCGAGAGTGTCTACAGACAGCCCATGGTCCAACACCAGGTTAGCTCAGTTAAGAAAGTCACGTAATAATCCAAAAAACGGATCACCTGAAACTTGCATCTGCTTTTAAAGATTTCCGACTCAACACAGGCAGCCACAGTCTTCAACAGAAACCTTTTTTTTATCTGCTTATAATGTTTTTTAAGCTGGGACAAAAGCTTACAGACAGATCAGTGAAGCTTCATAAACTTTGCTCATTGTACTGGACATCATAAAACATTTGAAGAGTAGTATTCTTCTCCCAGTCTGCAGTGAAAGTCAAATGACATACAGGAAGCGGCAGCTGACAGGACAGTTTCTTTTTTTATGGTAAAAATGTTTGATCATGGTGAAAATGACTAGAAAACAAAGAGTCATTAGTTTATGAAACTACTGTGTAGTCTATAATGTAGTCTTGTAACTTGTACATTAAACAATAGGCAGTAAAAATAATGTATTACATGACAGAATCCCACAGGACACTCACGAAAGAGTGAATATCTCTCCATTTTGGCCCTTATTAAGACACTAATGCCAACTTTTATTAAAATATTTACCTCTACTAAGCAAAAAGATTAAGAAGCTTTTGCTTCTTAATCTGAAATTAAATGTTAAAGAAATTCAGAATGTAAATTTGTTAATTATCCTTAAGGACAAATAGGATAAAACACTGTTTTCTTACATACAGCAACAAGGTAAACTAAATAAGAATATTTATTTCAGCCACTGAGACTTGTGATTTGGCTTGGACTTGTCCCCTCAATGACTTAAGACTTTACTTTGACTTGAGAAACATTACTTGTAAACATGGTTTGGTGAAAAAAGAGTGACTGCCTCATTATGCAAGTACATTTTATATAAACACGGTGAAATGGTAGAAAGGAAAGTTAGTTAAGGCATTAATTTAGATCTACTTCACAAGTTCACTGCATAGAGATAACAGAGGACAAGTTATTTTAATAGCTGCCGATGGAATTTCTGCTTCAGTGAGCTCACCAGATGAAAAATAATAGATTCAGGAAAGAAGTAATGAGGAGCATGTTGAGTCAAATCTGTCTAAATGTCTGTGTGTATTGGCATGTTTGTAGAAAAGAACACAGCATTTCTCATTGTGTTGGAATTGAGAACTAAAACGGAAATCTTCTGGAAAATGGTGTCGGCATAATTTCTCCTTTCTTGTTAAGGCATGCCTGCGTTTTCCCTCGAGACAGGCAGACAAAAGATGGGGAAAAGTGACATATCTGGGTGTTTTAGGGGAATTGCATAATAATGTGGAAGTTAAGTTTGTAAAGTGAACATCCCTGAGAAAGGCAGCCTGCATATCTCTACAGAATGCCTGAGTCGCCTACTTGTCAAATGAGCAGGATTACCCATGTACTTATGTGGAAAAACTGCTAATTTTGGAGAAATATCTTAGTTAGCAAAATGAACGGCTATGCAAGAAAGGGATATTAAAATCTTGACATATTGCATTTCTCTTTATACAATTGTAAAGGAATATCATAAATGCTTTCATAAGTGAAAATGACTCACACACACAAGAAACTGACCATGAGCTTATTTGTTGTTTTTTTGTTTGTTTGTTTTTTGCATTATTAGTGGTGGCAAAAATGAACCAGAGCCAGAGCAGCCTGTTCCCAGAAAGGTAACAATCCGCAGCCTGCCTTCTGCAGACGACATCGACCCAGACGTACTGGACAGCATGCACTCCCTGGGCTGCTTCAGAGACAAAAACAAGCTCCTGAAGGACCTGCTCTCAGATGAGTGAGTGGATGGAGGTTCAAAAGAGAGGGATCTATAGTTGATGAGTGTGATCTTGGTCCTGCTTGCACGCTCGGCTCTGTTTTTTACCTGGCTCTTACAAAATCTTGTGAAGCTGTCGCTTTATATGTCAGAGACCATGGATCACTTAACTGTTATCACACGGTGCTTACATTACTCGCTGCTGGCTACTTCTTTTCCAAACTTGTCATGGTTTGCACTACAGACTAATCTTTGAGCTGTCCTGCTACTGCCAGCCTGTTTTTTTTCTTCTTCTGTGAAAATGCATTTACATTCATCTCTGCTGTAAATATGAGCCCACTACTCTTTCAGTTCTTTATTTGGCCCATACCTCCTCTTTTAATGCAAAACTGGAACTGCTCTCTCACTATGCTTTTGCTCCAACTCCTCCATTTGCGACCTTTCTCCTGGGGAAATTTTGTAATTGTGCTGCATGGGAGGAAAATCTGTGGTCTCCATTTCCCTTCCTCTGCTTCATTTTAGCTGAAGTTGCAGGTCCTTGTCTCTTTGCCTCCCACCGCTTTCCAATCTGTCTTTATTATAGAGGCCTATTCCCTGGGTATTTTGCATAGAGAGTGCAGCACAGAGGCTAAAGACATTAGGTTTCCTGATTTGCAAGGAAAGTAAAGGTCGAACTTGTGATCTTGTCATACTTTCATTGAACTCGATGGCTACCAGCACACACTGTATGTTGAAATAAGGCTGAGCATAACAAAGAAAATATATGTATACTATGACATGAATGCTTAATGATCTGTAAAACTAAACTTTTATTTTAAAGATGAGAATAATTTATCAGCTATTTTACTGTGCTCACAAAAAAGATTAAAGGACATTAATCATAGTGAGGGGATTTGTACTTTGATCTCACATTTGTTTATTTAAATTGCTAACATTTCAGTGATATAATGGGAACGATTCACTTTCAAAGATATTTTGTTTTGTATCTGTTAAAAAAGTTTAGTAGTTGGCTTTCTTTTTACTTGAATTGTTACCCCTTTGCAGTGAAAACCAAGAGAAGATGATTTACTTCTTGTTACTTGATCGTAAGGAGAGGTATCCCAGTCAAGAAGATCAGAACCTTCCTCCTCGCAACGAGATTGGTGAGTCCAAGATTTGTTTTGTCACAGCCTCACAGTGTAACTAACCCCTGTGTGAAAGCATAACTCTGCTCCAAACAACTTGTGGGGGAAAAAAAATCCTCTAAAGTGGGCGTAGCAAAGAGACAGAGACACAACACAGCCATATGTGGGAATAAGAGGAGGGTTGCGGTTGTAGTCAGCACAAGTTGCCATTATATTTATCATATATTTATCATCCTTCCAGACATATATAGTGACAAATTCTGAAAAAATGAATAAAAACGAGTTATTAAGGAGACCCATTCCACTCTCTACTTCAACTCTAGGCTCACCATCAGACGCTATGTGTCAAAATTAGATGATTTTATACCCCAAAAAAGTGATGCATGACACAAAGCTGCACCATGTGGTGTAAAGTTTCAAACAATAGGATAATTCAACTGCTTTGATCTAAAGGTGCCAGCATTGAGATGGTTTTTATGCCAACAAATGCATAAATTAATTTGTTGGCTGGAAGGAAACCATTACTTATTCTCTATTAGTTAGACCAAAAATGTTGAAATTCACTCTGAAACATAACCGTTAGCAATCTATTCAATCCAACAAAACGCTTTTCTGCAAAGGAAAGGTAATTTGAGGATTAGTTAAACTTTAAAGAAAACAGTAAAAAGTTATGGATTTATTTCTCTAATGAAATGGCAAACGACCTGCCATACAACATTTCATGGTAGGTGAATCTTAACTCATGGCAAAAAGGCAAAACCTCAACTATGTTCAAGTGCTGTGAAGGACTTAAGGTGGGCCTGTCTGCTCTAGAAAAACTGACCAAAGTCTGCCCAGTTAAATTACAGAGAAAATGTTCAGTCATTACTGTGCTCATCAGGAAAAAAACAGTTTTACATGCAGCTTTCTTTGGAAGCACAATTATTTTGGGCTTACAGCGACTGTCAGAATTTGGAATCTATAAATAAGACCATGTTATTTTTATGTGTTTAGGCAATACCAATTTTGAAACAGTGGGTTTTATTTTCAAAGAGAACAAACTAATTTACATAACGTTTTGAAAAATCTAACTCATGAATGCTTTTTGTGGCTCAACCAACCTGCCGTGTTTTCCTCCATCAGAAGAAATTGGTTCAGCTCCGGCTCACGCAGCGTTAGATTGGCTCTTCGATAAACAGATGAAAAGAGCTTTTTGTTTATTGAAAATGAATAACTCTCTCAATGAAAAACACTAGCTTTAAATAGAATGGATCAACAGGGTTTTCAAAAAGCTGTCGCCTGATTTAGGTCAAACATTATCTGATGAAATAAATTTGGTGCATCACATCAAGGGGTTGATTTTCAGCCATAAAAGTCTGAGCAGGGATGGTGATGCTCTCCTTAAATTCCTTCTTAGGTTAGTTTCTGACAACAGTGTGGTGTATCTGCGGCGATACGCTGACATTTTGATAAATGGACTCCTCCTTCAGTGAATATGATACAGTCGATACAGTGGCCATTAGTTCAAGGGCTGGAAGGAAACCATTACTTATTCTCTATTAGTTAGAATGTCAATGTGTGAACAGCGGTAAACATCAGTCAAATGCTTCCATTTACACAAGCCATATGCAAAGCTGCTCATTACCTGCACTGATCATGTCAGGTGTTTTGTGCTTCCTTAGCATTTTTTTATTCTGCTTGACACAGATCCTCCAAAGAAGCGGGTTGACTCTCCAATGTTGAACCGTCATGGCAAGAGGAGGCCAGAGAGGAAGTCCATGGAGGTTCTGAGTGTCACTGACGGTGGTTCACCGGTACCAGCCAGAAGAGCCATCGACATGACACAACATGGACAAAGGTATGCATGCAGTAATCAGTATGCTTTTAAATGAAGGTGCCTCTCAATAAAGTCAATATATTTCAGTAATTCAAAAAGTGAAACTCATTCATCGGAAATAATTTCTGATCTTTTTGATGATTATGGCTTACAGATGACGAAAATCCTATCTTATGTTTCTCAGAAAATGTAAATATTACAATAAAACCTAGCAAAAAAGTTTTCTTTATTTCAAAAAGTATTGTCGTATATTATGAGCAACATCATGGTGAGGAGTGTTTATTTCAAATTCAAAAGGTTATGGCAAAACCACAACAACTTTTACAGACACATAAAAATCCAATTAGATGAGGAGTCCAGCAACACTTTCAGCACAGAGAAACAAGGTCTCGAAAGGAAAGTTGTCAATAAAACTACCACAGTCACAACAAGGACAAACCACAAATGGTTATTGTTCAAAGTGCCATACCCAGTTATATTAATGGAAAGTTAAGTGAAAGGAAACAGTGTGATAGAGAAAGCTGCACAATCAACAGAAAAAAGCTAAATGAGCCCCATTAGAAACTTTTGGAAAATATGGAGTCTGAGCTTATATTCAGAATGTGTTACAACTAACACATTCCACTTCAGACCACTCCAAAGCCAAAGACAACATCAGAAATATTGTCTTTGGCTCAGAACTTAGAAGAAAATGGTCGGGGCTACTTCTCAGTGGTAGTCCACTCTTCCAGACAAAAGTAAATTTTGCTTTTTATTTGGAAGTCAAGGCCATCATGTTACACTGTTTTTATGCAGCAAGTTATGCCAAAGAAACACTGACAAAATATTAAGTTGATATTGTTTTAGGATGTCAGCTTCTTTCCTGTAAGCTGACATCTCTTTAAAAAAAACCTAAAAATTATATTGGTTTTTCTTTAACATTCTCGCTGAATTTAGGGTTGTCATTCAGCTGTAAGACCTAATTAACATTCATAAAAATAAAAGTTTGAAAATGTCATTTGCAATGAACCTACATATCATATAAATTTCACTTTTTGAATGGCGTTATTGAAATAAATTACCTTTTTGATTTATTTGGTGAGTTACACCAAACACACACGCCTCACTTTCTGAGTGTTTTGTTTGTCTGGGAATTCCCGCTGCCCGGTTTATGTTTAAGTTGCTCTGACAGTGAGTTTGCGGCCGTGTCAACAAACTGCACTGCAGACCTAAACATAAACAGAGACTGACTCTGCTCACTTTTTCTTCTGTCTCATCGTAGTAACTCAGTGTACAGTAAAAGCTTGGATATTCCTGACGCCAGAACAAAATGCAGCAAAGAAGAAAGGTACTCACTTGCCTTCACTTCCACATGCTCCCCCATCCCCACACTCGTGCCCCCACCACGCAAGGACAGGAAAAAAGATGCAGAGATCCTGTGTGTTGAAGGGACAGGCTTTAAAGTTCTGTTTTAATTTGTGGCTGCTTATTGAAAACAATAAGGATGTAATTTTTTTTTAAAGTTCAGCACCTAATTAATTTAGTTTTAAAAACTGAAGATCGGTGCACATTTAGAATTCAGAGGCTCAGTATCAACAGCCCCACTTGTTCAGGCATTAACTCAATTATCTCTTCTCCTCATAATCAGTTCTACCATAATGTGTCCTACTTTCTCTCGATGCAGAACATTTCTCCATTTTGCTATTTTGGAAATGCTGAAGTCATGCCATGAGTGCACTCCCACGAGGCTGAGCGCTCTGATTTAAAAATCTCTTTCCACGTCTTATTTCATGTATCATCATGCCACACATTTGTGCTCAGGGGCAGTGACATTTGTAGCAGCAGTGAAGATTGCATCAGAGTGAGTGATAACATAAAACTGGTGAATGTTAGTTGGACCAGTAGAGCACTGGGAAAGACTGATGTAGTGACATCATTGCAAAACAATGTGAGATGGGTTGGATTCACTTTGGAGGTTTTAAATCCATTTCAATGACTTTTTTTTTTCATGGGAAAAAAAGTATTTCCTTTGGTGGCTTCAAATTTTAGTTTAAGATTATTCTTCTTCTGTTATATCAACTCCTCCTTCCCATTCCTTTTCTTCAGGCATTTCCAGAATTATCTGGTTTTCATTTGAATTAGTTAAGGAAGTGCTTTTTCAGCTTTAGCCCTGACTCAACTGTTTCAGTGCACACCTAGATTGCTGGAATTTTGCCCTGATTTATTTAAGCTTTAATGACTCCTGTACCACAACCTTGCAAAAGCATTCCTTTTCCTTAAAATTGTTCACATTGAGTCACAACACAGTGTGTGACTCAATGTCATTTTGATTATGTGGGGCAGAAAAACACAGTCCAGTGCATAACTTAGAAGTGGTAGAACATCTTTAACAAAAACTTTAATTTAGTGTCTTAGATTTTGACCTAAGCAAAATGTTGTGTACAAGTAATATAATGAAAACAATGGAACACCACTAACAGGTCAGGTTTAAAGTAATAGAGAAGTCTAAAGCAGAATTATCTGAAATGTACACTGAAAGTGCAGAATGTGTCAAAACCTGAGAACTAGATGTTGTCAGAAGCTTCTAATCTAATCTGACTGTGCTTCTTCTAATTTACAGTGAATAAGCAACATTTTCAGATTCCAGAATACCTGGAGATATGTGTATGAATGCTTTAACTGCAGTACAGGAGAATTCTGCAAAGTATCGACTTAAGAAAGTTGGACACAAATTCCCTCCGCGGTTTTTAGAAGAAATAAAAATAACAATATAATCAAGAAACTTCACATAGATATGCTAATTTTTGTTGGTCTTCCACACAAACTCAATAGTATATAGTTTACAATTATAGTGTGGAAAAAATTGAAGATTTCATGAGGTAAGAATTGTGCTTTGAGCTACTGTGACAAACAGAAACTACAATAAGCTCCAGCCACATATATTTTTGGATATAATTTAAATGTTGATTGCTAAATCTAAATTTAACAGATTTACAGATGACCATAAGCTCATTTATAAACTTTACAGATTTAGATGTAGGCATGTTCTTTCAACCAAGAAATTTGTTTCTGACAGGGAAGAACATATTTTCTCACAAAAGACCAAACACACACACACACACACACACACACACACACACACACACACACACACACACACACACACCCACACACACACACACACACACACACACGTACACACACACACACACACACACACACACGTACACACACGCACGCACGCACACACACACACACAAAAAAAAAAAACAGAAATAAAGTATTTCTGGCTTTCTTTTGTTTTGTTTTGTTTCTGCACAGTTTTAATCATGAAATCCAAGTCTTTAAGGTTAAAAGGCCTTCTTGCCATCATATCAACTTCTTCATATGTCTCTAACACAGTCTAATTGTCACTCAGGTGGAGAAAGCACACATTAATATTAATTTTCGTCAGAGGAAACTCATTGGTAAAGTTTGAAAAAATATATTAAAGCAAAATCAACTGAAACATCAGAGATGTTGTGCTCTATATTTATGTAAATCTTGAGGAAAAATCCTGCCTTCACCCCACGAGGCAGCGTATGAATAGATCTGAATCAGAATCTTGTATTTTACAAAAACAGCTTGTCTGCATCTTTCTTCTATGCTACTTTAGTTGGGTGTAAGTTGTACTCTTCCATCTAGTTTGTCTCCAGGAACTCCTCCCCGCCCCTCTTTTAAAACACCTTTTTCTCTCTTTTCAGTTGTCCCTCGTGTACTGCTGACCTTCATTCCCAAAAGCTCCTGCTGTTAGTGCGGAATTGCTATGCTAATGTGGAAATGCTGCTAGTTTTGCTCTGCCTGGCCTCCTATCAGTTGATATAAATTGGAGGAGGAGGGAGGTTGCGATATCGTAGCCCCTCTGCCTCCAAATCAAATCAAATCTCTCATTTTTTTCTTCCTTAAAAACAAACTTTTCCATCTTTTATCTTGTGCTCGTCTTTGCTTTGTTTGATCATGCTGATGTTTGTGCGTGTGTGTGTGTGGGTGTGTGTGTGTGTGTGTGTGTGTGTGTGTGTACAAGGTCTTGGTGCTGGGAAGAACATACAGAGCAGCGAAATGTCCAAAGATTTAACTGACTTTCTCTGAACCTAACCTTATCTTGCCCCAACAGCAAACTTTTGTCGACAGCTCAGAAGATTCGTAGAACTCGAGATCAGAGGCTGTCAGAGAGAGTGCTGACTTTGAAACATGTGTTTTGACATGATACATTTCCGCCAGCAAAAATGAGTGAAAGAGAGAGGAAACTGCTTTATTTTAAATTACAGAACCTAAATGTTGGACGCTCATGCTGAGATATAGCTAGTATTTTGCTCAACACTTAAAATCTGATATTTTCTGTGAAGTGTAATTGAATAGATTTGCGATAAATGTAGTTGTGGTCGTGTTGCATATTAATAGAAATGACAACATCCTCATCTGAATGTCTACTTTATTCATTTTATGCTGATGCTATGCTTACAATTTATATAAAGCATGATGAATCCGATTGATTTAACTTTGAATCCTAATAACATGCAAGAAGAAATGAAGGAAGGTTAATGAGATGGAAATGAAAATGGAAAAGTGCTGTGCTGCAAAGAAGAGAATATCAATGATTTTTTTTTCCTACAGATGTGCTCTAGTTGTTTCATACAGTCCAGACGTAGTAGTTTAAACGGTGGCAATAAGTTGGAGTCCCCTGGTCGTTACAGACTCAGATTTACTTAAGAGGCTAAAATGAGTTTAAAAAACACCTTTTACTCTTATATCTGCTACAGAAACTGCAGGGGATGTTCTGCGTTGCAAAGCTATGAATATTAATGCGCAAGTCCTCAGGGGGTTTTCAGGGCTCAGAGGAGGAAATGAATTTAAACCATATGTTGATTTACATGAATATTTACTCATGTTGAGAATCTCCATTGGTGGGACAGTCTGTGACAAAAGAAGAGAGAAAGTAATGACTGAACTTTTCCCACTTACTTTTAGCCATGAAACTTTGAAAGTCTTTTTTTAAATAATTTTAAGTGTCAATCTAGAAAACAGAGCTTTGTAAGATATCAATATGCTCCTACCTTAATTATGACCTTATTCCCCATTTTTAAACCATTGGCAGTTTTTTTTATCTTCATTGAATGTATTTTGTTTTAATCTGTGGTATTGCAATACTCAAAGACAAATTCTTTACCTTTGGTTGAGACATACCACACTTAACTTTGGTACTTTAAGTAAATTCCCCATCTGCAAAATTAGGTCCAAAAATAAACCTGCAAGGGGGCGAACAGCAGATGAAACAAAACTAAATTAATGTCAGACTTATCTGTTTCCATAACCTGTAAAATAAAACAGGTTTGAAGCTCTGAATGTCACTCACCTGACTCTGTTTATAGACATTTTCAAAAAGTAGGATATATCATTTAGATTTAAATACTTTGAAACTCCTTTTTCTTGTCCAAACCAGTGTTGGTATATACTGAAAATACCAACGTGCATGAATGCAGCTTTAAAGCAAGAAGCCATATACAAAGACATGCAACATGCAACTGTTGATCACACAGCATGTCATGTATGACTTAATGATGTAGCGTCTGGGTTTTCTAATAGATGATGAATGGTTCGCAAATTGTGTGTGCTGTTCATTGTAAATTAATCCCTCAACAACAATAATTAATCTTTACTGTGAAGCAGTGGTGAGTCTCTGACAGCCCATTACTGTACAGCATAACCATCTGTAACATAAGCTTTATAGACCTGCTGGTCCAACACTAACAGATGTAGAGCGCCTCGGAACAATATGTTCAAAATGGCCGGAAGTTCTGGCCATGTTCAGATTAAGTTTACAAGCATTGTAGAGGTAACCAACTGTGTCTATGTCTCAGTGGACTGTTGGACCTCAATGTAAATGATAGCAACTGTCTGGTCTGATCCACACAGTGAAACAAGAAATCCCTGCCAATACGATCTCACCGTCGCCTACTCGTCCTTATGTGTGACTGAAAGCGTGCAAAATATTCTCTCTGAAAATGGACAGTGGAAGATTAACAAATATAACTCGGAAGTGGGCGTTACTGAATTTTGCTTCCTCACATGGTAGCTTTTAAGGGACCTTTTGCTATGTTTGTCTGTCTTGCTGAAGAGTAAAACTGCTGTTAAAATTTATTTTTACCAAAAGAAAACAACAATTCATGTACATCCACATGTTCACAACTGCATCAGCACCGAGATGCAGAGAGAAAGAAAGCGACCGAGCGAAAGAGGAGGAGGGGGGTATTATTAGACTGAATGACAAAAAGGGACAGTGTTGTGACAGTGAGCAGCTGGTGTTTCCAAGTGTTGACAGGCGCCTGTTTTTGTGTGTTTGTGTGCATACATGTGTGCGCTTGATGGAGACAGATTGGGCTGTGATTGTTCATTTCTGAGCAAGACTCTTCTCATTGGGGGTTATTGACAGCATCTGTGAGGAAAATGACAAACATGACAAATGGCATTGAACCAAATGTTCCTTTTTATTCTGCTTCTCAAGATACTTAGCATGCCCGGAGGCATAAACCCCCCCCGATTTGTTTGTTTTATTATTAATGTGCCGAAAGGAGGAAAACTAGTTTGAGTGGTAGTCTATAGAAAATTGGCCATGGATTTATCACATCAATATAGCTGAATCCAAAGGATAAGTGGTGTGCAACTAATTGCTTGGAGTTGATGTTAGTAATGCAGATTGTCATGTTGGTGCCAGTGTTTTTTTGTTGTTGTTGTTGTTGTTGTAGTGCAGTTACCCTCAGAGTCAGATCAGTTGTTGTTTGAAGTACTTCAAAGCAAAATATGGTTGTATGCAGATATTTATATGCACTGTATACATGGATTTTTTTTTCTTTTACTGTCGGACAATAAATGAGAAAAAAAAAGAGTTTCTTGTTATTTCTGTTGGGATTGAATTTTATGTCCAACAGTATGAAAGAAAGACTCTTGCTATCTCAAAGTTAGCATGCACGGCATGTGCAGACATCTGGTTTCAGCTGTATCTGTGAACTACAATGTGCCGTTGTGCCTTCTAAACAATAAGTAGGATGTAAACCAGCCTCACACCTCCCTATATGTTTACTGAAACACGTTACAGGCCACAGAATGATCCTTTAAATTGCCTTTGTTCCTTTGTGTGTTGTCGCTTGTTTTTGCCACAGGTCGCGGTCTATTAGTGGAGCCTCTTCTGGCCTCTCCACCAGCCCCCTTAGCAGCCCACGGGTAAGTCATAAAGCTCAGACACAATCACTCACACACTCTGTAACACACTCATACTGCTAAACGACCATCCAGCTACTGCTGAAACCGCCTTATTGGTATTGTGTTATTGTTCAATGTGTCTGCAAATGAAGTAAAGTTGCCTTTTCCATTGTATACACTGTATACCTACGTATTCATACCCTTCAAACTTTTAATTCTTCATTACATTACAACAACAACGATTCCTTTTAATAGGTGATGTAGAAGTACTTTTTGCAATGTATTTATATATTTTTTGGGAACATCTGGTCATTGCATTATTGCTAAAATGCACCCACCTTGACACTTTAGTGTTAAAAATTCTAAAGATACACTGTTTGACAAAATCCTTATTTAATCTTTAATATTGCATTTTAATTTAGCTTAGGCTTTGTATTAAATTGTTAGATGTCCACCAAAGTAAGGTTTCCCAACATAAGTCAAAGTATAACTCCCAGAGTGGATAGCACAACAAATTTTCACCCACCCTGAAGCCTCTTATCCATCCTCTCAATCGTATATACTTACATTATCCCAGCTTCTGTTTTATCGGTTCCATTCTCTTCAGAAATCCACATATAAGAATGCTTTAGAAAATCCAACTGTCCTTGCTCAGAGCTGGGGAGCCTGTGGTAAACTTTTTCAGTTGGCTAACCTTAGAAGACTCGAGATTATCCAGGATCCAAACACAACCCCCTTTACACAGACACACACACCACACGGGTTCTTTGAGGCTGATCTGAAAGGGAAATTGATTTCTCAGATGTACCGAACACCAGGATTGTGCTCGCCACAGGAGACTCTGTTTGGAGTTATTTCTGGAAAAAGGGGTTTGTGTCCAAGGCAAATACTGGAGTTTTGTCTCTTTGGTCACTGCATTAAAAGTCAAATGGATCAATGAAGCTATTAGGAATCTAGAGATACTGCAGTACAGACACTATCTTCCGTTTATTGTTGAGTCAGTCCAGACTGTGTTCACAGCTAGTCTTATGTCTTTTGCATCTATCTGTGTTTGCTTGTTTTTCTCTGCTGTCAGATCCTTGTTTGTTTTCCACAAGAGAAGCCAGTCATATGTCTTGTTTGGACTGTACTTCACATTGATTGTATTTTTTTCCCCATGTCAGTTTAATTCTGTCTTTGTTTAATGTCACAGTTTTATGTCATGATTATTTTTTGTTTTGTCTTGTAAATTCTCTATTTTCCCTCCTATTATTCTCTCCTCACCTTTGTGTGTTTGGTGGTTATGTGTGTTTCCATGCATCCCTGTGAGTTTTTATTTTAATTTTTTCATCCACCTGTTCCTCCTCTTGGCTGTGTTGTGCTTTGTGTCCTCACGTTGCTTGTTCTGAATCCAGCCAATCAGAAAGTTCTGCGTACCACCTCAGTCCCCTGACTTGTCTGAGTCCCCTAACACCAGCCCATGTCCTTCCCCTGAACCCTGTCCAAATCGCACGGGCCCACGCATCTCCACACCTAACTCCCTGGCTCCAAACAGTGAACCCCTGCCTGGAGGCCTCAACAAGACACAGACACTCCCAGCTAAGCCCAAAGTTGCCCCAAAGCCTCTGCAAGCCACTCGATCAAATCCCCTTCCTGAAACCGCCCCTGATCCAGCACCTGCTGCCAAATCAGAACCCTCCACTCCCTGCCAGCTGCCATCACAGCCCCCATCTGCCTCTGTGCCTCCCACTCCTACTTCTCCATCCTCACCTACTCCTTTTGCCTCCTCCATCTCCAGTACTCCCATCCCAAGCAGCCCCCAGGTACGCCGTTCCCATTATGCTGCCAACCCCCAACTCTCTGTGCCCTTCAGTCCGGTCACGCCCATGTCACCCATCCGGCTACACCACTTTCACCCTGTGGTGCCTGTTCCTTCTCCATTTACTGACCACCCACCCAAATCTATCCCCCTCATACAGGTTACCCCTCACCCTTCCCCTCGAGGCAGTCCCCTCCCAACCCCAAAAGGCACTCCAGTCCATACTCCCAAGGACAGTCCTGCAGGAACTCCAACTCCGACACCGCCCCCAAGCCCATCCATTGGAGGCATGCCTTGGAGGACGCGCCTTAACTCCATCAAAAACAGCTTCCTCGGCTCACCACGCTTCCACCGCAGGAAACTCCAAGGTACTTGCATTCCAGTTGAATTCATATTTCCTGCAAACACTGAATTGCATCAGTCAGCATTTTGCTTCTGATTTCTGATCTCTGGATTGTGTAAACTTTGCACATTACAACTGATTGTGGCTTCTGTGTAAGGTTTACAGTTTAAGAAGATAAAAGGATCACTGTGAAGCCATGTTTTATTATTTTAGAATGAAGACAAAATAGTGTGAAGCTGACATTTCAGTATCTTTAATTGGCTATAAGTGTGGCTAGCTACACAGCAGCGTGCATTCTTTTGAGAAGATAGTCTTATCTAACTCGGATTTAAAAAGGCTGTCAACATCTCCTAATGAAAAGCATTGCATAACACAAACTGAATATTTAAAAGTACAAACCAGCTTAACCTTCCCATTATCTCATAAAAGCCTTTCTATCTGTTTTTCTGTTTTTCACTCTCTTGCAATTTGATTTAACTGCAGACCTTTGTGGTGTCATTTTAACATGTATCTTAGATCTCTGTGTGTTGAATGGAGTGTTGCTTATGAAAATGTGAAATTTTGGACTTTTCCAAGTGGCAAGTCACCAGTCGAGGTGGATTCGGCTGAAAATTGTACTGCCAACTAATGTCAAAGTTAAATGTCTGAAAGCCTCATATTAATTTGATTAACTCTGATTACTTTATCTCCTTTGCTTCTGCAGTTCCTACACAAGAGGAGATGTCCAGCCTCACACCAGAGTCTTCCCCAGAGTAAGTGGAGACTTGCTGATATAACAATGCATGATCTGGAATTGTTCTGGGGCTTAGGTTTGACAGCATAATCATTTGAAAATGTAGCGTCTACAAATATCTCATGTCTGCCTGCATTTTTTTTATGGTTGCTTAGATTGGTGTGATGTCCTTGTTAGGTTAGACATGTTTCACTGTAGCAGGAGTTAGTGGGTTTATGGGGATGCGTGGCAGAAATGGTTGGGGTGTCAGCTCATGTAAAGTTCCAAACTCCTGTGGGCATGATTACTGAAGGTTGGCCTAGATATGGCTGCTTGGCTGCTGTATAGTTTCCTATACAGCAGGATAGAAAACTATCCTGTTTCCTATCCTAGAAACAGGATAGGAGTTAATATCTTAACTCTTAAAAGACATTAAGAGTTAAGATACTCTTAAAATATTAAGAGTTAAGAAAAGAGTTTAAGAAAATATTAACTGTAGGAAAGCCTCAGGCGTCTTTCATGCCAAATATCTTGGTATAATCTTAGGTGGCTGTTCTTTTTGCTTTCTGAATGAACAACATATTTAAGGTAACTAAACCCACTCACCAAGTGTTGTTTTCAGACAGGGTAAGACAATTACTCTGTGGTAATAAAAGTGTTCTAAAACATAAACGTTCTGAAACTCACCTAATGAGACAATGAAAAGTATTCCTGCAGACATGAATGCCTCAATACAGATAGGTAGCCATGAGGTGTTTTATTTTTACCAGTGTCTTTCTAGAGGATGTTATCATTTCCAAAGGACAAGTGAAGATGAACTATGATGTCTTGCTGCTAGACATCATAGTTGTACCTTATTTTGGCTTCACCACAGTGTGGAGACTTTTTTTTTTTCTCATCATTTACATCTTGATTGAACTGCAGACATGTGTCATTATGCCATTTTAAAATGTGTTTTAGCTCTGTGTGTGTTGGATGTAGTGTTCCTTATGACTCACTAAGTCATGGACATTTTGATTTTCCAAATGGCCAAATACCAGTCAGCCTGATCCAGCAGATAATTGGATCACTCCTTAACATTAATGCGTAGAGAAGATAAATGCTCTCTCAGCATTTGCAGATAATGCACATATCTGCATTTACAAGTTATTTACAGTTACAAATTACAAGTTTGTCCCAGAGCATTTGGCCTGGACCAATAAACAGATCTGGGATGGAGTCTCTTTTTTTTCAGTGGCTCATTACAGGTTTGGGATACGGTGATGGAGATGTTTAATGGCCATGTGTTCCTTTCAGACTTTCATTGTATTAGCCAAAACAAGTAATAAAAGTGTGTGAATAGTAAATAAAGCCCCAAGTCTGCCAGCTTTGACTTTCCCCCACACAATCAAACAGCTCAGACTTAGAAAACAAGCTGAATTCAAACACAAAGTTTGCCATTGTAAAACTTGAAACTGCTATTTAAAACATGAAGTATCTTAATGATTTCTACTACCACATATTGAAAAAAGAAAAATAAAAATGACAGTTTTCTTCAGGAATTTTTATTTTCCTCTCTGTTACTTATCGTTTTATGTGTCTTACTCCATCAACTTACCGCAATTGGTCTAAGAAAAAAAAAAAGTATTCATTATTGGGAATTCACATTTTTTTATTCATTGGAAAAGAAGGCCTGGGGAATACTACAGGTAGGTACTGTACTTAAATCGACGCACACAGATAACTTTTATATCTGCCAGGCTCCTTCACAGCTCAGCTGAGGTTGATGGGGAGGAAAATGGCATACTGTGCAGTTTCTGTTTATATGCAACACATTAGCAATGGAAAAAATATATATGAAAGGGAATAATATTAACCAATTTTGAATCTGAGATTTGTACAATACTTTTTGTCAGATGATGAGCTGTAATCACTTAATTTTCTTTCTTTTAGACTTGCCAAAAAATCCTGGTTTGGTAACTTCATCAACCTGGAAAAAGAAGAGCAGATCTTTATTGTCATCAAAGACAAGCCTCTCAGCTCCATTAAGGCAGACATTGTTCAAGCCTTCCTTTCGGTAAGATTATCTTTGACTCTACTTCCTACATCTATATGTGCATATGGTGAGATCTTGATGTTTGTTTTCTAATATGGCTGCTTTTTATGTGGTCATTCGGTAGACTGCTTGTATTTTACTATGGACTCTGTTGAGATCAATAGAAAAAAGACGCATTGATCATTAGCATATAGATGCCTTAGCCTCTACATCATCAACATGGGCTTACGAGCGAATTGTAAAGTTAAGTTGTAGATTGCATCTGGGTTTTAGCTTTATAATCCTGTGGATGCACATTTAGGGGCCAACATCAATAAGCTCAGAACCAGTTTAACCAAACACGCAGCTGCGGTAGTTGATATTCAGTCAACATAATTGAACAGAACCCATCCTCACCCCAGTTAGATTTAACAAAGTCTAAGTAAATGCAGCTCTGCCGCCGCAGGTCAATGTCAGATCTGTTTCCCCTTCCCTGAAGGCAGCTATTTTCTCCTCTGGGTTACGCAAGCTGGTATTCCAGACAGGAGATTGGCACCTGAATCAGTGGAATTATACCTCAGAGCGCACTCACATTAATGGAATGTCAAAGCCTCCTCAGCACTGTGGCAAAACGTGACAATTTCAGAGCTCACCTGTTTGTTGGGCATAGAAATTCATTTTGGTAAGGAGAGGGCCATGTTTTGGATGACTCCAGATTATATTAGCTTAAGTCTCTCTGGCACACATGGCTACTCCCTGAGGCATTAATCTTCTTAGAGTTTCAACTGGGGCTCATGGTATGTGGAGGGTATTTTAATGAGGGCTCATTCACACTGTCATTGTACGATTGGGCAGCAGAAGATGAAATCACTCCTTTTCTATTTATTATCACATTACCTGCAATTGTTAGCTACCTATTTTTAATCTCATCTGTAGGTTTGTCTTTTTTCTTTTTCTTTTTTTTTTTTTTTTTTGTCTTTTTCTCCCAGATTCCCAGCCTGAGCCACAGCGTCATCTCTCAAACAAGTTTCCGGGCAGAGTACAAGTCCACTGCCGGCCCCACAGTCTTCCAGAAGCCGGTCAAGTTTCAGGTGGACATCACCTACACAGAGAGCACAGCTGCCACAAAAGAGAACGGCATCTATTCAGTTACTTTTACTCTGCTCTCAGGTGAGGACTTTTCTGCACCCATAAAATGTATCTCCTATGAACAGAAACTAATATAATATGAAAACACAGTGCTATGTAGTTGCTGTTTGCATTTCCAACATAAGTTTGCACAATTCTAGCAGATGCAAACTTTTAACCCTTATATTGCTTTTCCAAGTTAATCGTGGTAAACAAAATTTGACAAAGGTTTCTGGAAATTTCATTCAATATTCTTGTCTGCTGCTGCAGCATGAAGGCCAAAAATCAGTCCAGATGAATCAGAGAAGAGCTAATCCAAAAGTTCAAGTTGGGAGCTGGATGCGAAAAAATCTTTAAGGCATCCCCTATATTTTAGTTAAATCCATCAGAAAAAAATGGAAGGAATTTGGCACATGTGCCAAGATGTGACTACAGAGAGAGAATATCTGGTCCTTCAGTATAAGCTACTTGTTGTGTGTTGTCACACATGTGACTGAACTGAAGGTGTTACAAGCTTCAGCAGCTGAAATGAGAGAGACTCTTTACATGACTTTTCCCCAGGGTCATCATCAGTAAGGTTTTATGAGAGAGTGGCAATGAGAAAAAATTCTCAGGTACAGAAAATTCATATTAAGGCTCAACTAGAGCCTGTGGAGTCATCCATACTAGTAGGGTATTCTTAAATAACCTATTTCCTCCCACGTCTTTAGGCTTGTAAAAATCTAGGTTTCCATATAAAATTTTGTGAAACCTTTAACACTGCCACTTACACTACAAGCATAATGTTGTCATGCTTTAAACTTTTGTCATCAAAACTGACTTTTTTAAAGTACCAAACCCATAAAACTAAAATTTATTCTTTTTTGGAGGGGGCTGTTTTCAAACTTTCTGTCAAAATGAGCAACTGCCTGAGAGTTTCTTGGAGTTTCTGCCGCCCCGAGTGCTCGATAAGATTTTCTTCTTACCTCCCTAAGCATAACGAAACGAGGTCTGGCAATGCAAGATTACATACCGAGCAGCCATGTGTGAATGCTTAGTTGTGCAGAAACGGATGTACCCTTTCTTTCACTCCCTTTAGTCTCTTTCACTCAATCAAGTACAACGACAGTAGTTTGATTCTCAGAGCTGTGGATCAGCGAAGGAGATGGAATCTTCCACTTTGATGAGTAGGGGTTCATTTACCTGCCATGCCATGTGTTATTGCAATCTTACGAAAAACACAGAAACTAGAAAAGCTAAAGATGCATTTGGATAGTTTAATGGTGGAAATACATTTGAATTGTAAAGGAAGAATTGGATGGATAGGTTTGCATTATAATTAATTTCTAAATTAATAAATGCCCCTTTAGCAGATCAGTCTAAACATGTTTTGTATCAAACATAATGAAGTTTATTTAAATTGATTGAATTAAATTGGTTGATTTTCTGGTTACAGGCCCTGCTTTCAGCCACAATTCATACATTTTCAGTAGTTTTGAAGTCTGTACCCTTTCAGTAGTTTACTATTAGTCTTCTCTTTCTTTCCTTTAAACTTCCTATGCCGTATGAGCAAGTAGCCTGCTGCAGCCACTGCCACTCATTCCTGGGTTTTGTCTTTAAAGATGTAATTTTTCAACAAGTTACATGTTTTTGTCCTGACTTCCCCCATTGTGGGACAATTTGATGTGTTAACTCCATTTATAGCTTATGCATGCAATTCTTGCTATAAGAACCCACTGAAATTGTATTACCATTCCACCCTAACAAAATAAGCTTTCAAAGCAACAATGAAAAGCCCAAATAATGCTTGAAAAGCATCTAATCTCTGACTGCTCCTGTACGCTAACTATATGGGCCAATTACCATCCAGCACAACTAAATGTCACTCTTAGTTAGCTATTGTCTTCTAGCCCAAAACTGTCCCTTCACATGCCAGTTAAGCTTATGGAGTCCTGATAAATATAAATAAATCATAGGTTTCAGATCATCACGACGTACAAGTCCAACTGCATGGATGTTTGTAAGAGAGAGGAGCAGACTGTAGCAGTAGTTTCTTTGTACTGGAACAAAGCAAGTCGGTTACATTCCAACTCGCTCTATACAATGAGATTTTGCAACTTGCATATATTCCTCATTTTGTCATTTCACATCGATGTCTTAACAGCATGTCAAACTGTTGGCATGCTGTTAATATTGAATCCTGACTCAAATGAACACACATTTTGACTTGTCTTTGCTGGGAAACCACAGGTGTATTCGTGATAGCTACATGTCACTCAGAGAAAGGTGCTGCTTTTATGCTTTTCTGTTCATAATTTCCTTCTGTAGTGAGTGACGGAGCTGAACCAGAGTTCATTTATGAACTCCAGCTGTACTTCCACCTTTGCAAATACTTTCAGGTAGATTAAGCTAATATTTTCCGCTTTTGTGTGCAGGTCCAAGCCGACGTTTTAAGCGAGTAGTTGAGACGATTCAGAGCCAGTTGTTAAGCACACATGATCAGCCTGGGGTCCAACAACTCTCTGGTGAGTGAAAATGTTTATTTCAGATGAAGAAATACCTTTTTTCCCCCAAACCTCCTTCCCAAATTCCCCCCTACCACCTCATCTTTCTATGTCACCCCTTAACAAACCCCTCACATCTGAAGCCTAGATAGATCTTGCCCTTCTTTTTGCTCTTGTTGCTCTGCTTCTTCAAACGCCTTCCTTGGGTGAGGCACAGGCTTCCTGACCTGTGCCTCACCGACTTTAAGCGGGGTGGGGCTGCTCTCAAGCGCTGATTGCAGGCCAAAGTATTTTTACTTTATTAAAAGATTAAAACAGAGGTAGATTAAGTTGATTGGCATTGGGTTATTCCTTGTTATTCCTATTTTATAGACTGATCATCCATGCCTGCTGCCATGGCAACACTGCTTTGCCTCAACACACTCCCAGAATCCACAGAGCCGCACGTCGGATAAGCGCCCCTGTCTTTTATGATGTTTTAGTGCATCCAAATGTCTTAGTGCATCCCTGCTGGTCTCTTTCATTTTGGCCTCTTTTGGTGTCTTAAGGCTTTAAATAACTTAGTGACAGTCTGTTTATTACCTCCTTTGTGTCTTCAGTTTCAAGGCTGCTGCAGTCTGTTGTTTCTCAACAGTGTCTATATTAAGTTCTCCTAATGCATGGAGTGGAAGACGAAGAGAATAGAAAAAAAAGCCACAGGAATCTTATTTTTATTCCACTCTATGTATGTTTTGTCTTGAGAGTCCCTTCTATTTGTGTCATTTATTTTGCAATATCCCCATCTTCTGGTCAGCAGTGAAACTACAGATAGACTGGCATTAATCAGCTGGAAAGAGCCTGTATTTCTCTCAAATAACAGTTTCATCTCATGTGTAAAATATTAAAATGTTGGATACATCCTACTCCACTTTGATACTAAGTAGAACTCTTTGTTCACATTGAGCCTTTTATTCATTTTAGTGATTCTAGTTCTCATAAATAATGGAGGATATTTAACAATTAACTGTCAGTGCTGTATTCTAATATAAAAGAAAAACAAAACAAAACAAAAAAACTTAAGCTTTTTTTGTTTTGTCCTCCTGGAGGACAAAACAAGTTTTTGATCTTTAGAATTGTTTAGCTCATTACCAGCTTGAGTTATTAGAAGGGTCACATAAGGTTACTTTGGACTAGGTTATGATGACTGTATGTTGCCACACAATGAATAGAAATGAATGCAGTTTTTGCTCCACTGTAATAACATCCAGAATCACGCATGTTGTGGTCAGCCTGTCCTGATAGTGCTAAGGTACAGGGAGTTCACTCAGCTTTCAAACTAAGTTTTACTTAGAGCCTGCCAAAATTTGATGGATTTAAGCCAAATGTAGCACATTCTCAAATCCACATGCAGAGGCAATCTGGCAAAATCACAGAGCAATTGATAATCCTTGTTTATTTGACTTGCAGACAGTTTTCAAACAGATTCCCCTTTTGCAGAATAGTTTGTTAAATATGTGTGCAAATACATAAAATATGTTGCCGCTATATGTTCTCTTGTTCTTACAAATAGCAGCTCAATGGCTGCTCACAAAATATGCATATTTACTGAAACTTTCCAAAGATATGACATAGTAACTAAAGACCATGACTATGCTTCCTTCATTTCTAATGTTTGGGGTTCCTATTGCAGTTGCTGAACTAGTCTTTCTATAGAAAAAAATTCTACATACACTTTTTCTCACTTAGTAAATAGCCAATGTGTGTTAACTCATTTACATAAAAAAAAAACATCAAAGTTTTAATACATTATTGAATAGAGCTTATCAGAATATTGACAATAAGAAGTTGCATTACTTCAAAGAGCTGTTGGTTGTGATGTTGATTTAGATGGTCAAGAACTGGGAGTTTGTGTCTAACTTTGAAATAAAGTGATCAAAGCTTTTTGGGGGAACAAAATGCTAAAATGATTGCACCACATGTGGTTCACTTCAGCCTGGAAGCCCCTGTAGACAACTTGTGTCATCTTTGTCAGTATATTTAGATTGACTCTGGAAATTGGTTCTTGATTGAGTGAACTCAACAGTTTGGCTGAGCAAATGGGATGAAGACACTGAACTATTTTTGTCATTTGTTGTTGACTTTTTATTTAACCTTTTTGGTGATTTATCTTAATGGTTCTGTTTGAATGAAACAGCTGACCTACTGATATGATTTAGGGTTATGTTTTATTCAGCTCATTTCCCCGTTTAGACTTCTATCCCAACATTAATCTCGGATACAACAAATGCAATGTATGTTGACTGTACTTTAACATAGGGTACCTGTCTGAAGTGTACTCTCATTAGTCAATGGCATAAGAGGACTAACAACTTTTCCGTGGAATGATTATCTTTGGTCATTGAATGCTCCTTTGGTCTCTCCATATAGCATTGTCCCCCAGTGAACCCTGTTCTTCCTATATTTTCCCACGTGTGTGTGCCTATATTGGACACTGAATAACTTATTTGACATAATCAACCCACTTTTTTCAGATGAGAAGAATGGCCAGGTGCCCCACCCTTTCAGCACGGCCTCCAAGCACTGCCCCACCCCCATGCACGTCCGGAGACATGAATCAGAAAACAATGACACCAAATTTCCAGGTGCAGGCCGAGACAGAGCCAAGCTGTCGATGGCATCTGTGGGGACACAGGAAGAGACTTAGCCTGAGACATTTTGTAGATTAACCAATGCAAATCTGAACCAGGATATCTGGTTCTCTTTATTAGAGTAAAATGTCTTTATTTAAAAAAATAAAAATACACCACAGCTCCAGAACACATAAATGAAATGCTGCTACTCTCCGATTTTTCATTTCTCTACAGTTTCCATCATCATCAACACTCCCTCTCCCCGACCCACCCACCAAACCCCCCATGTTACCGTGCTTATTTGTGTCCCTTTCTGCTGCTAACCTTTGTAATCTCCTGACTTGTTTTTGACACCAGGAATTATCCAGAAAACCTATTAAAGTCCCTCCTCCTGCTCCATGCTCCACTTGCCCTCCAACAACTACCCCAATGCACCCCCTCCAAATGTGCCAAGAGTGGAGGACTCCTCTCCGAGGGGTGCCAAAAAAAGACTCCTACCTTCGACTGCACCCCAACTCCACCTTTGGCATCCATCAGTAGAAAGTAGATGAAAGTCCTTTTAGTGTTTCTTCCATAGTCTTTCAAGCACACATCTACAATCATACTCTAAAATGGCTCATCTTTTTTTTTTTTTTTTTTTAAGGGATTATTTTTAATCTATTGGAAATGAAGCACTGGTCAAAACACTCAAGGTACAGCATACAAAAAAAACTAACAAAAAAATAATAATTAAAAAAAAAAACATGCACAAAACACTCTGGGATGTACCAGTGTTGATGAAAAACACAAAATAAACCTACAAAAGACTTACAGAAATGTGAGGAGGCGCAAAGAGAGAGCGTTGTTGCTGGAAGTCCAAACAGCCAACACAGGCGCTTGCTGGATTGTATCCGTTTGCTTTGTATTGTACTTTCTTTGTGATGAACTGGGTTTGAATTTTAATTTTTAATAGACTTGATACAACTGCTGCAAAATGGACTGAAATTGTGATTTCAGAGAGGACGTGGGTGTCAGCAAAACAGGCAACGGGGAAATGGGGGAGATGAAATGAAAGTATTGGGGGGAGGGTGCAGGGAGGGTTATGTGGGTATTTAAAATGAATGATCTATTCTCTTGTACAGACTGAAAGCATTTTTAATGTAAAAAAAATGAAATGTTTAGTTGTGACACTGGTAGATATCATAGAAACAGGCTGTTAAAACTACACCTGCATCATTCTGTCATTTTAAAATCTGTGTATTTTTGTTACATGATTATCGCTGTCCTTGTTCGATCAACCTGGAAATGATCCAAACATTCCCTGTTCTCTGCAGCACTTTCTTTGATTTTCCATTTGTACCTCTCTCTTAGTCTCAAATACCAGCAGTAGGAGTAGAGGAACAAAAAAAAATGTGATAAATGCAATTGTGAATATTTTTGTATTGTTGTCCTTATTTATTCATATTTGTTCATCTCACTGTTTAATTCCTAATTTATTATAACTTGGCTATTTATATGGACAAAGCTGTTAGGTCAGTTGAATGTTATTTACTACCCTCTTGTGTGTTGGTAAATGGGACATTTAAAGAAGAAAAAAGCTGAACTTTATTTTGTTTTGTTTTTGTTTGACTTAAAACTGAAATATGTGAACTTTGACAAATTTCTTTATTTCCAGACCTAATTGAAGAGGAAACAAGAACTTGTTGGAACTCTGGAAAAAGAATGGTTTTACCAGTAATTTAAGAATGTAGACTTAGCCTCTTTTGGAAGAGGGAACATGCTCTTCTATTGATATTTGTCAGTTTCATAATATTGTGCATTGTATGCCAGGCCTGAGGAGGAGAATTTGTCAGATCGTGATCTGCTTCTTCTCTATGTAAATAGACAGACAAGCTGTGGGGGTTGATTGTCTTCTCAACCATGCTGGGGATTCCTGCTCTATGCTTTTAGCTTGTATTGCTGTGTGCATGTCAAACATGAGCTTTTCTTTGCATGGCTTTAGTGTTTAATGTTCCACGCCAAACTCGCCCCTCTATCAGCCTTCATTAATTTTTCCCTCAACAGTACTGTGTTTTAAAGTTGAAATTCCCTTCTCTCTGCTTTTAATTCTGGCCTTTTATTTTTCTTACTCTCCTTTCAGTCCTGCTGACGTTCTTTTCCTTCCTCCAGCTTGTGCACAAAGTTTTTAAATGATGCTTCCTTTACTATGTACCTCTCTGCGGAAAGCTCAGAGGGTTGGGCGTTCTGTGCCTGTCTGATGAAGAGGCACAGGGAGGGAATACCACTACTACAACGTGAAAGCAATACCTTTTATTCACCCTCCTCTTTGTTTACTACAATGGGAAGCTGACAGCACTGAGGACAAATTTTGGCCCAGATGGGACTTTCCTTCTTTTTATTTCATTTGATTTTTTTTCCCCTTTTTTTTTGGACAGAGCAGGAACAAAACTTACTGATGTAATCCCCATTCTAAATAACTGTGAGCATTTTCAGTGCTGAAACAAATAAACTCATTCAGTTATGGTGTGTGTATGTGTTCTCCTTTTTCATATTGGTAAAGATAGGTGCATTCCTTTAAGAAAAAAATGCATATATATATGAAATAAAGAATTAAGGGTCCACTTAAACAATTCAATGTAACTCCAAGTCAATCAAGCTTCTGTCAAATCAACCTCACCTGTTAAGAAGCAACACTGTGAATCTATTTTGCCTGCCGTTTTGCAAATTCAAACAGGCAACAGGTGGTCAAGAGAGGCAATTAGCCAGATGACCCCTATAAAGAATGAGTTCTGTAGATGGTGACTGTAGACCACTTGTCTGTTTCCATCCTTTCAGGCTGACATCTCGGTCACTTTTGTATGTTGTTAGTGTCCACATGCCAAGTGGTGTCATGAGACAGGAGTCTACAACTCACTGCCACATCCCTTCAAGATAACTTCCAGTAGGCCATTGTGTGTACATTTCTGCTCAAACTATCTGATCATAATTCATGAAGGTATGGGGGTTCGACATCCATGACTGGGGCCTGTTCTTACATCCCAACTCTCTGCAGAGTGGTTTGCATTTGTCAGAGAACACCAAGATTGGCGGTGTGTTCTCTTCATGGATGAGAGCAGGTACAGATCTGACAGAGTCTGGAGACACAGTGGAGAATGTTGAGCTGTCTGCAACATGGCCGCTTTGGTGGTGGATCAGTAATGGAGAGGTACAATATGTCTTTGGAAGGACTCAATGTGAGACCACCTCGGTGCAGTGGGATCTGGGTTCCGGCGTGTTCCTCAAACCTGAATCCAATAAAGCACATTTGGGACATGTTTTGTTCCAACCACCAATTCCATGTTGCACTGCGGACTGTGCAGCAGTTGATTGATGCTTTAATCCAGATCTGGGAAGAGATCCCTCAGGAGAACACACACTACTGAGCCTCATTTGGCCTTTTCTTGAGGAATTTCCACAGAAGTTGAATACGCTTGTAATAGGATTTTCCACTTTCTTTTGAGTGTAAGTTAAAATCTGTAATACTGTGGGATAATTTAGATTTACATTGATAATTTTTGCTATTTTCAACTGAAATAGTTATTTTAGAATTGCCTTTATTTTTTCATAACCTTTCCTTTCCGGATTTTTTATAGGTAATATTTTATTTGTACTCTTGAAGGTTGGTGCATTTAAGAGACCACTGTTTTCGGGTAAGCCTACAAACTCCTTTAAAAGTGGATTCTTCTTCAAGCCCCCCTTGGATAAAGGAGTGCCACACTCTGTTCCTAGACTTATGTGTCCTGCCACCCAAACTTATGATTCATATCTGATAAAAAGTGACATTCTGAATGTAAACAGACTAGTAAATCAATAAACTTCAACCATTAGTTTCTATTCATGTTGATATTTTTGGTTTACAGTTAAGGAAAATACAGAATTTTGGGTGCTACAGAGGTGTTGCATTCGCTCAGCTTGGTTTAACTATGCTCTTTCTGCATAGTTTTTATGTTCTCCTTGTTCATGTGTGGGTTCTCGGTCACTATGGCTTTCGCCCACAATACGAAAACATGACTTTGGTTAATTGGTCTGTAAACATACATGTAGGCATGTATGTCTTTGTGCAGTATTTGTCCACCATGTGTGTTTTTTGATGACGGGTAGGGGGGACCTGATGGATGAATACCAAGTTTTTTGGTATTCATCCATCAGATGAATACCAGCACATCTGGCTAAACCAGATGTGCTGGTTTAGCCTAACACAGCCTTGCAGAAATAAGCGCTCACTGATTCAAAATTGAGATTTTTGTTTTTTGTCTCTGTTTTTCTTGCTTTTCTTGTGAGAAAGTATTTGTTTGAATATGCATTTGCATTCCTCTTACAGGCTGCTGCAGCTGCTGCTTTCAGGTGAGTCCATTCAACACCATACAAAAAGAGTTCCAGTCAAAGTCACAAGGTTTATTTCAGGCAAAACATATTTTTCCAAATCCTTCTGTTGTGGCTGTGTAAATATGGTAAACATCAAGACAAGCAAAATTATCTATTAGTATGCCTGCATTAACAGCTGAAGCATTTTTAAAGTATTAGCTTGGATTAAAAATGAAATAAAAGGGCACGCCTCATTAAATACTTTCACATCTTTTGTTCTCATTAAATAGAAAATGTCCATCCCACTGAGCAGTAAGTCATTCTGGTCATACTTTAGTTAAAAAAAAAAAAAACTATATAAAAGAGTACTTGCTTTATCATATAAACTTTTCCTTCACTACAGACTGAACTGAGCCTTCCTCCCACTCTGCATCTCCAGTCTATGGTTACTGTACATAGCTTCAGTCAAAACCCAGGAGTTACTGCAAATTCCAGTCTTTTCATGATTTCCACTAGATGGCAGCAGTATTTTGTTTATGAAAGTAGCCTCTCCATTTAGGCTTCCTGAGCCTTTGAGAAAAACAAAACAAACCACCCTTTTTGAAAAACTTACTGCTCATCACAGTAACTGCCATCATGTAGTGCTTGGCACAAAACAACACTGTTCAGCGTCAACAACTGCCAAATCAGTCACTGTGCCACACCATGCACAGTTTTGCAGTATTTCCTCTGAAATGTGGTTCCTACAGAACCAATCCACCTTTATTTACACACACAAAGCCTTCTTCTGCAACTTTCACACACTTGTTGCTTTTCGTCTTGTCTCATTGCAGCAGCTCACGTCTTCAGACTTGAGATGAAATGTAAAGCGAACGTAGACGCTGAGCCAGGATGGCCTCCAGCTCTTCCAGAGGTGAGTCACTGCGGCTGTGAGCCAGAGAAGAAGTGCAGTTATTCCCCTGTCGAGTGCAGTTGGTGCCTAGTAACAGGGTCCTGAAGCCATCTTTTTCCAGCAGTGCCGGCATCTGCTGCAGGAAGAAACTTTCGCAACATGAACTCAGGTCCACTGAACCATTTGCCTGTTCAAGAAAAAAGAAAAAAAATCATGTGAGCTGCTCACAAAATGTAGACTAGATTACAAAAGAGTAGCATAGCCTTCTCAAAACAGACATTACCTTAGCTGTCCTGTAGATGCTGACTGCATTGTCGAGGTTTATGTGCTTGGAGCAGATGAGCTCACAATATCTCTGCAGTGCCCCCAGCTGGAACTGATTAGCAGCCGACAAAAGCTATAGGAAAAAAACAAAAACAATTTTTTATAATTTTGGACACTTTCATAATCTTTTAGCTCATAAACCCACCTGCTTGTGTCTATAGTCATAGTTTAGGCTTAGATTTATTTATTTTTGGGCGTTGTATCCAGTTATAGAACAGAAAATTATAAGGAACGAGATCAGTTTCACAGAGCTGCATGTGTTTGCATGTCCCCAGAAGCAGGAATACACAGAGCTGTTGCTGCCTCCGGCTGATGAATATGTCTCAGCAGAATTAAATCGCACTCATTAAGAAGTTGTAAATATCTTTGAGTTCTCCTGTTCTTCACAATACATACTTGACTAATTCAGTTCCTATAAGTATAACCTACATAAGTGAATGCTTTTTGATGACATGCCATGACTAGATCAGGGTGAGGAGATATAAATTCTGTATCTACGTTTGGTTCCTCCTAACAACATGGCATTTTGATTTGCTGTTCGCTCTCCTCTTTCAGCAAGGTAATATTGAATGAAAACATTTAGGCAATGAGTGTACAAATGAACTAACTTTCAAGTAAAACTAATGTCCAACTTAATTTGAACTAAACAGGTTGAATGTTGAAAGAATACAGGCTATGAATTCACATTTCATGGAGTGAACTGGCAAAAATTGGAGGAGCAAAAACATAAGCTTGATCATGTGCCTTTAGAAAATAGATTCATATGAGCCACATGGGCTGCACAGTGGCGCAGTGGGTAGCGCTGTTGCCTTGCAGCAAGAAGGTCCTGGGTTCGATTCCCGGCCCGGGGTCTTTCTGCACAGAGTTTGCATGTTTTCCCTGAGCGTGCGTGGCTTCTCTCCGGGTTCTCCGGCTTCCTCCCACAGTCCAAAAACATGACTGTCAGGTTAACTGGCCTTCCCAAATTCTCCCTCGGTGTGAGTGTGTGTGTGTGTGCATGGTTGTTTGTCCTGTTTGTCTCTGTGTTGCCCTGCGACAGACTGGCGACCTGAACCCCGCCTCTCGCCCGGAACGCAGCTGGAGAGGCACCAGCACCTCCCGACCCCGTTAGGGAGAAGGGTGATCAGATAATGGATGGATGGATGATCCACATGTGCTAATGACCAGTTGCCAGTTCCATAACATACTGTTCTGTGATCTAAAAATGACTGTGTAGTAAAAATGTGTTTTTACATGAACAACTTTTTCCCTCTGTGCAGTTCAAGTCAACCTAATTAACATGATCTGAACCTTCAGCTCTGTTCTCACCTCCAGTAAGTCCGTCACATTTGTTTTCAGTGAGTCTGTTCCTCCACAGTACAGGTAAGACATCATCATCTGCAGAGAGGTCAAATGTCTAGTTTAGCAACATTTCAGTTTCAGTTTATCTAATTGTTTTAATCGCTTTTTCCCTGCATATGCAGGGAAAAAGAGAATACACAGTAGAAATTAATTTCTTTTAAATGAAATTGTCAGATTAATGGTTTTTCTTTTGGCTAAACGTCAATAAGACACTTCTTGGAGCCAGTCAGTCTGGGGTTTATTCCATGTATAGCCCTTGTAGATTCACGTCAAAGCATCTGAATTACATCTAGGTCTGGTTAACTGGATCTAGAAATTTATTTCTCATGGGATTTTCTTAGGGTCATTATTGTGTTCCAGGTTACAAATTGTGTTTCCTTGAACATCCTCTGGTTCATGGCAGAATTAATGAGCTGGCCAGAGAAATGCATCTCCAAGCTCCGTCATTTACAGCTCTTCTTAAAATTTGGTATGCAATTATTTTCTATTTCTGATTCGATTAAAAAGGACAGCAAGAAAATTAAATGTGAATGCCTGTTCACCCAATAAGTCATCAAAAACATTCTGAACAATGATCCTCCAATTATTGGGGCCTGCCCATAGCAATGCATAAGGAGAGCAGTGA